GCTCGCTCCTCCCTCTGCTCTGGGTGCCCCACCGGCGGGCTCCTGGCTGGGCACGAGGGGCTGGGCACGAGGGGGACTGCTGAAAACCAGCCCCGAGTCCTCCCAGCCGTGGCTCTACAACAAAAGGCACGGCCAGAGCAAAGGGCACTGCCTGCGCGGCCGCTGAGACACGGTGTGCAGCAGGGGGAGGCCGGGGAGAGAAACCCCCGCTCCTGGGGAAGAACCCCCTCTTCTCATGGCACGTGAGCTGCGGTCTCACAGGCCGTGAGACTTCAGAAAATGCAAATTCATTAATACGGAAGCTTTACACGCTCATTGTTCTTTAAAATTGTAACACTGGAGCCCACACTTTCACTAAAGGGACAACAACAATAAAAAAAAAACCCAACCTGAAAAGGAGAATTGAATTATTTTCTGGAAAAAAAACCCAGATTCCTTAAATTACTTTTTTTTTCCACTTTACTCATTCATCTTTGAAATAAATCCAAACAGGAACAATGACAAGGGAAAAGACAGCCTTAATTTAAGTAAGAAACCGTTTTTATCAGGAAACAAATTAATTCAATACAGTTTGACCTTATACTGCAATTTTGCTCAGAAAGTTAAAATGCATTCTTTTTATAAGATCTGCCAGAAATCTAATTTGTACGATGATTTTTGTCTCCCCTTAAGGCTGGGATAAACAGATTGCTGCTGCCCCCCTCCCGGTCCAGCTCTCCTGCTGGCAGTCTGAAGTTCCTAAAACTCATTTCCGTAGTTATTCAACTGACATCTGAGCGGTCCTTGCGCAGGAGATACACCTGACACGAAGAAAAATAAGTGAAGTTTTGCGGTTCTCTTTAGGCTACACACCAAGATTACAGAAAGCCCCGCGCCGGTGAAGGCCACTGCGGTAACGAACGGCAAAGAGCGCTCACCTCTCGGCGCACGCCTTCGTAACCCCCCGGCACGCTTCCCTGAAGGAAACGCATTTTCCATCACACGATCCCGTGTAATGACAAGACCCAAGAGCCAAGCGGCTGCTGCCAGCCGCCGCGGGA